CACAGGGACACGTGAGGATGGCTGTTGCTGTGACTGCAAATCATTCTTTAATAGGCTCTTTACATATAAGAATGAAACAGGAGGAAAAGACCCGGGAGTAATTGGAGACGCCGATAGTGATATTTAACGTTCATTCTGCAAAGGCTCAGGTTCGCATTCTGGTACCACGCTGGCAGGATTTGACAACTGGAAAGTTCCGTAACCATCTCTTGCTATCTCTGGGGGTGGAGACACTCTAAAAGGGCGCGAGCCCCATCTTTAAGCATGGCCCAGTCCCATGCCGTCTGTAAGACTTGCTGTTTGAGGTCATTGTTGCAGCCACTCACTGAGGGTTTCCTCTTCTCCATCCACTCTGCTTCACTAATAGCATGTCTTCCCCCATGGGGGCTGGGCTCTTGAAGTGAAGTCGTGCCATCTGGGCAGCTAAGGAGCATTCTGGCTGTTTGTTCTGATGCCTGTCAGTGGTCCAGTCGATGTTCTTTGCCAACATCATCACTCAAATGCAGTGACGTCCCTCGGGTATTTGGAACTCACACCAAAATGACCCCAGAGTGTGGCAAGTGCATGTGTGCCAGGGCTGGCTGGCACCACAGGTGGAGGGATACAAAGGCAGTAGTGTCACCGGGGTTGGTGCCTCCTGTTATTCAGTATAGTAACTAGACCTGGGGGCAGGTGGGTGTGCTGAGATCCCCACCACTGTGGTGGGAGAAGGGGCTCTGCTTTGCCCTCTGGGGGTGGGGAGGAGCCGAGGGAGCTGCAGTGTTGACAGGGTGTGGCTACAACTCTGGTCCTAGGGTCTGCATGGAGGTGGGCATGCTGGCAGGCGCTGGGGGCAGGGAAATGGGGAGGGCTGTGTGATACCAGGAGTCACCTCAATGGGTAGCAAGCAGTCTAGTGAAGTCACTTGGAAGGTGTCAATTCTTCAGTCTTCCCTATTCCCAGTCCAGCTTTGATATACATGAGGTCAATGAAAAGGCCAGGCTTGGGTGCTCAAGGTGCCAGCGTTGCTGTGCAATGCTTTAAGAGAGATCTTTTGCAGTCGATGTGCCCAATACAATGCACTGTTGAGGGAACCCTGGTGGCACCTTGGGCTCAGTGCTAGGCTGCTAACCAAAGCCTGGTAGTTCAAACCGATAGTCTCTCTGTGGGGGGAAAGGTGAGGCAACCTGCTGCGAGCAAGAGGTACAGCCTCAGAGCCCCTCCTCTGCCTTGAGCTGGAATTGACGGGACGGCAGCGGCTCAGGTGTTGTTTGACTTCCTGACTGCTGCCTCATGAGCAGTATTTATCAGGATGTTGACTGATTTGCGGGAGGGGGTGGAGGGTGGAGGGGTGGCAAGGGTGGAGATACCCTAAAGGGCACCGACTCCCCTACAAAACACAGATGGGAAACTGTGGCTGAATTATGTGACACTGCAGCACAGAGCAGTGCACCCATGACCTGTGCTGGAAGGGATACACTGGTTCTCATAAGAAAAGCTTCTGGGAGGGCAGATGGGTGGGGGTGGGGGTGGGGAGGTGGGAGGTCATTGTCCTTTCAAAATCAATAGGAATAGAAAGGAAGTAAGTGGGAAAAATTAGGGACAATTGGAGAAATGGGGGGGGGAGAAGAGGGGTGTGAAGAAAATCCAACCGCTCTAATGATGACATTATACAAATGTCCCAAGTCCCCCTGATGTCTGCTAGTGCATCAGTGTTAGCTTTCCCATAAGAATTGTGTCTGAGGAGCCCCTGGTAGTGTGTTTTGGTTTCCTGATGCCAGAACGAGGTGAACCAGGGAAGGCCTCTATTCCCCTCCACACGAGAGAGGCCTGGGTGCTTCTCAGGACCCAGATACCACTGATAGAAAAAGACCTAACGAGAGGAGCCCTGGAATCTTCTGCCTATGTGGTATTTGACAGATGGCAGACGCACTCTCATGCCCACTTGCTTCACAATCTACTTTCCATGCAGCCTGTACCTTGCTCACATGCTTATCACCGCGTGTGTCCCCAAAGCCTGCAGGCCACATACCTGGGTGTACTTGCGGAAAAACACCCCTTGCACCTTCCCAAAAATTTCATAATCCACAGATATCAGGGTGTCCCCTTCTGCCATGCTCACACCTGCCAGAGACCAGGAAAGCAGCAGCGTAAGGGACTGTGCTAGGATCCCCAATTCCCGAGCAGCAAGGGCCACTGCCACCTGTCCCCCAGCTGAAAGTCCTTGAGTGGAGTGGGCAGTGTGCCCACCGGTGTGTGCAGTAAGGAAAAGACACCTGGACATGGCATAAGTGCTCCTGGCAACAAATGCCCCAAGAGGCCTTTAGGGCCAATTCCCTGTTCATCCCTCCTCTTACCCATCCTGGAGGATCCTGGTGGCACAGTGATTAAAGCACTCGCGCTAACCCGAAGGGGAGCCACTTTAACTCATCAGCTGCCGTGCGGGAGAAGGATGTGGCAGTCTGTTTCCGTAACGACCCCGGCCTTAGCAAGCCTCTGGGGCGTTAGCTCCCTCCTCACGGATCAGAATTCCCTGCACCGCACGGAACTTCAAGGTTTTGGAATACCCACTCTGAGCCCGCTCGCTCCCTCCTGTCTCTTCCCCTTCCCACGAGCTTCCGCAACCGTCAACCCCCTCCCCCACCTCTGTTAACATTTTAGGGTTCATCGAGTGGGGCCCCCCACTCCAGGGCTCACCCTCCTTGTCTTCCTCAAAGGCTGCCAGCACCACCCGAGAGGAGAACCTTGCCAATGGCCCCCCCTCGGCGGCGTCAACCGTCGCGCCCGGAAGCTTAACGAGTGCCCATCATCTCCGCTCGGCCAATCGGCGACGGCGCGCTCAGCCCAGAGCCCGCCCAGAGGGCGGGGCTTGAGGGCGCGGGCGCGTGGGAGCCGAGGGAGCCCCGCGAGCCTGGAAGCAGGGAATTGACCTTGGTGTCTGCGTTGAGTCCACCGCTGCTGCCTTCACCCACGTGTAATAAATAGGGCTCCCCCACCTCACTCACTAAGCATACCCCTTTCTGCATTTTCTAGGGAAGAGAAGTACACAGACGGAGGATACAGCCCACATTCACTAAGTATTTATTTGGTCACACGATAGTGACCAAAACACACAGGACCCCTGCCCCGCAGGTGATTAGACTTGGAGGGTCGCCGGCAATAAGCCTTCAACGTCATGAAGAAATCAATGGAATCCGTACAACCTTTCTGCCCCGTTCCCTCCCAGTTCTCCCGGACTTTGGGGCCCGGCCCAGGCCTGCAATGGGAAGGAAGAGGGAGGAATGCACACGAGGTCCCAGGAGAGATGATTTCTCCCTCTGTGTTCTGGACGCTGCCCATCAGTGTCTAACTTACTAAGAAAATTTCAACTAACCCGTGTCTAAAAAAAGCATGGCTCCGGGATCGCCGACTGAGCCAGTCAGTCTGAGGCAAGGACCAAAGTGCCCGAGTGTATTTTGGGAAAAGAGAATTGTCCAAGGAGATTGCGGGTTAGGATGGTTAAAATTAGGGTCGGCTTGTAGGCAGCTGGGTCCAGTTGGCTTTATGATTAGTAAGGTACATGACGGGAAGTTGGGGTTTCTCATTCCTCGTGCACACATTCCTGGCCTTGATCGCCTGACCCTCATGGCGTAGTGGGCTACACGCTGGGCTGCAGCTAACCGCAAGGCTAGCAATTTGAACCCACCAGCCCAGCCGTGGGAGAAAGATGCGGCTTTCTACTCCTACAAAGAGCTATCGTCTCGGGAACCCACAGGGGCGGCTCTTCTCTGTGCTGACGGGTCAAGACGAGCAGGCATCAGCTTGGTGGCAGTGAGTGTGGGTGGTCTGCGTATAACATAGCCCTCCGTTTCGTGAGAGAGGTTTGCAGAGAAGGCCCTGGAGAGTCATCATTCCACCAGCTTCCCACGATACGCAGCCCTGGTGGTGCAGTGAGCTCAGGGATAGCAGAAAGGTTGGCAGTTCAACCCCCTCCGCAGATCTGTGGCAGAAAGGCTGGGCACTCTGCTCCTGTAAAAATGGCTGCCCTAGAAAATCCATAGAGACAGTAACTGGATTCACCGTGCCTTAGGGGTATGGCAGGAACCTCGGTGGCGTAGTGGTTATACACGGGGCTGAAATCGGAAAGGTCAGCAGTTTTAAACACCAGCCGCTCCTGAGGACTTTCTATTCCCGTAATCATTTACAGTCTCGGAACATCAAGGGACAACCTTGTCTTATCAGGTCGCTAGGAGTCGGCATTGAGGTGGTCTGGCAGGGGAGATTGTGGGGAAATGGGGAGCAAATGACGAAGAGGACAAGAATGAGGAAAAGGTTCTAAAACGGACTGAGGTGATGGGTGCACAACACTGTGTGATGTGACTCAACGACTGAATTGTGAATTATGTGCCAAGAAAACTGTTAAAAACAAAGTTACCATCTACCAAAATCCCTGTGAGGGAGGTCTACTCTGTCGCCCAAGGTCACTATGAATCCAGCAATTTGACAGCATCGAACAATAGCTTTCCACTCTGGCGTGAGACTCCAAATCCTAAGGATTAATCGAACCTGAGTGCTGGAAGGGGCTGGGAGGGAGTACCATGCCTGGAAATATTTGAAAATATTTCAGATGTTAAGCAGAGTAGCTCACTAATATTATTTCTTCTAAAATGCATGTGTGTGTTTTATAAGTCTCTGTAGAATTCAAAACTTAGTGATTACAGGGTGCAGACTGCTGGAAGAGACTCAAAGATGAATGACAGATAGCCTCTCTTCAAAGACTTTTCTGTGTAAAGAACAAAAGGTGTGCGAATTATGGGATTATAAAGAGACTTTCCCCAGCTTTGTCTCCCCCAAAGACATGCCAAACATTAGAGGCTATTTGCCAGCACATGGTGGGAGGTCAGATGCTTAGACATCCTCCCTGAAGGCAGTCAGTTGCCAGACTACTGTCTGGTCCCACCACAAGAGGGGCCCACTCCCTGCTGAAGAGGACAATGGGCTACTTCCCCCTACAGGCTTGAGGCCATCAGTCTGGTCCCTGTAGGTGGGGTTTACACCCTACTGATAATGGTTTCCATGGAGAGCCAAAGAACAGGTCAAACCTGCTCAGTGGCATCCAAAGTTAGGGTGCCATCCTGAGTCCAGGATTCCCCCATCTTGTCACGTGTGCCCCCAATACCACCCCTTCCTATTGCATGTGTATCCCTAGATTGTCCCCCTCTCATTACTCTCATTACTGTATTACCTATAGTACAGCCCTTTCCTGTGACATACTGTATGTCTTTACCTGTAGTGAGTGAGCTTGCACCCCCCCCAAAGAGCTATAAACCTTGGTTAGCAATAAAGATCCCCTCTCTCCCTGGCTCTGTTTCCTCACTCCCCTGTCCCCTGTCCTCTTTCCCCTCCCCCTGCCTCCTGCCCTCTGGTCTCCCATCTCCACATGGACCACCAAGCAGGGCTGAGGTAGGAAATGCTACTATGAAATGCGCCTGACTCCATTATTTCAATCTCTCATGCTATGACTTTATTATAATCTATATATTTATATATCTCAACCGTACAGTTGCGCCTATCGAACCTGCGATTAGTTGTGGGGGGCTGGCCTTTCCCCCACAGCAAATAATGAAAATGCAACATCCCACATGGCAATTCAGTTCCATAAACACCCACGGCAGGTCCGGTGAGCCAGTCCTGTGCTCTAACAAGGGCAGAGTCACGATGGGAGCACAAGGGACAGAGAGATGAGTGCCCATTGGAAAGCTTCGGAAAAGTTTCCTGGGTGAAGCAGCGTTTTACCCTAGGTTTCAGAACCACGATGAGTTACGTGATGGAGCTGGGATGTAGCCCAAGGCAGGCTGAGTCCACAGCTCATTGTCATAATCCCTATAAGCTCTCCTCTCCCTGTACCGGAGTTTCTGGTAGGTATTACCACTGAAGTGAGAGGGTGCAGGTAGTCAGTTGTGGCTAGATCAGGGGATTACCGTGTGACTCCACCGTAGGACCTGTGGGGAAGTTAAAAAAAAAAATACTAATGCCCAGGCCTCACCAGCAGGTAGTCCCAAAGTGCAGCCGGGCATTGAGAACCACTGCATTAAACTCTGGGGGTTATTAAAAAGAATTAAGGCTAGAAAGTTGGGCTGGATCTAATCTAGTGGGTTGGAATGCCTAACTAATTGCAACTTTATTCTACAGCAAAAAAAAAAAAAGGCAATAGGGAGAGAAATCAGAAATATGTAGGATTATCACTCTGGCAGCTCTGAAGTCTGGGCGGGGGAGCGCAGCAAGAAGCGCAGGACGATGATTTCCTGAAGAGAAGTGGGGAAGAACTCAGGGCATCAAAGTGGAAAGGCGGGGCGGTCCTAGGGGAGAAGCATTGCAGAGGTAAAGTCACCTAGCCCTGCCCCTGCATTAGAAGGGAGGGCGGCACAGAGGGAGAGGAACAACTGATGGTTTGAACTGGAGAGGTGATATGGGAGACGTAGATTGGGGGATGGGAAGAAGATCGTGAGTCTTGTCCTGTCACACTGAGTTGACCATTCATCTGAGCTTCTTATGCTGCCCTAACAGAAATACCAAAGTGGTAGGTTTCAAAGAACAGATATGTATTTTCTCACAGCTGAGGGGCTGGAAGTTCAAATTCAGGACATGGGCACTAGGGAGAAGTTCCCTCTGACCACGTGGCATCCACCTTCCCTCATTGGTGCTTCTTTACTTCTGTGTCTAACCTGCTCTTTCCTTTTACATCTCAACAGTGTTTGGCGTATAGCACACCCTATACTGATAAGGCCTCATTGACAAAGGAAACCCTATTCCTACATGGGATTGCATCCCCTGAGATGTTGTTCTTGTCGGGTAGGTGCTGCCTACCTCAGTCAGGGTCATCGTGCACAACAGAAAGAAATACTGCCTGGTCTGGCGCCATCCTCACGACTGTTACGTTGAAGCCACTGTTGGGGTCGTGGTTTCCATCCACCTCACTGAGCTTCCTCCTCTTCTCTGTCGCCCTTCTGCTTTTACTAAGCACGACGCACTTTTCCAAGGACTGGTCTCGCCAGATAGCATGTCCAAAGTGATGCAGTTTCGCCATCCTTGATTCTAAGGAGCATTTTGGCTGTCCTCCTTCTAAGATAGATTTGTTTGTTCTTTTGGCAATCCCTGGTACTTTCAATATTCTCACCAGCTCCGTAATTCAAATGCACTGATGACTCTTCCATCTTCCATGTTCAGTGTCCAACACTCACAAGCATCTGAGGCAATTGAAAATCCCATGGTTTGGATCAGGCACGCCTTACTCCTCAAAATGACATCCTTGCTCTTCAGCACTTGAAGGAGTTCTTATGTACCAGGTTTGCCCAAAGCAGGGTGTCTCTTGACTTCTTGACTGCTGCTTCCAGGGGCACTGATTGCGGGTCTAAGGGAAATCCTTGGCAGCATTAATCTTTTCTCTGTTTATCAGGATGTCCTACCGACAGGTCCAGTTCTGAGGACTGTGGTTTTCTTTACATGGAGTTGTCATCCATACCGAAGGCTGCGATCCTTGATCTTCATCAGTAAGTGCTTTAAGTCTTCTCACTTTGGCAAGCAAGGTTGCATCATCTCCATATCACAGGTTGTTAACACGCCTTCCTCCAGTTCTTCTTCATATAGTCCAGCTTTTCAGGTAATTTGCTGTTTGGGGGGGTTAGGATTTACAACACGTATTTTGGGAAACAATTCAATCCATTACAAGGTTCCGTAGACACATTCATGTGGAGAGGCTAAACTGGCAAGTTTGGACAGGGCTGGAGCTAGATACCACGTAAACCAATGTTTCCCCGCATAGGCAATACTGCCCCCAGAGGACGCTGGAATGATCCAGGGAATTGCAAAAGCAGATACCCATACTTTATCCTGGTTTATAGGCTGTAGTATAAAAGCTTTAATTGCAGGGGGGGGGGGGGTTGCTGAGTAATTTTTTTCTTTCTTTCTTTCTGAAAAGGAAGCAGTAGGTTAAATATGTTTAGGCCCCTAGGATCTAAACACAGGTTTGAGCTGAAATCTCAGTGTTTGGTTGAGGTCATTAAAGAGAATATTGAGAAATAAGAGGGACTTGGAGAAAACCTACATTTAGAAGGCAGGTGGGGAAGACTTGAAGAAGACATTGAGGAGGCACAGAGTCCAGTGAGAAGAGCACTCCAAGTGGAAGAGGGAGCTCAGGCACAGAAGGTCTGCCGTCGGCCGTGGGAAGGGCACTCCAAGAAGAGGGAGCTCAGGCACAGAAGGTCTGCCGTCGGCCATGGGAAGGGCACTGGTGACAGTGGAAGGATGGAAGGCAGACCACAATGGGCTGGGCGTTGAAGGGGAGAAGGCAGGGGGTGGGGAGAGGGAGGCAGAGTTTTCTCCCCATAGGTCCTGCAGAGAAGAGGAGAAGTTAGTAAGACCCTCCTCACAGGAGAAGCAGCAGGGCAAGGACAAGGCTTGTTTGGCAGAGGAAAGTTAAGCATACTTTGTAAGCCAAAGAGGAGTCGGTGTAGAAGAGGTGGTGGAGGTTCCTGGAAAGGGATAAAACTCCTGAAAAGAGACCCTTCTTCCTCCGAAACAGAGGGAAGGAAAACAAATTAGAAAGAAAGAGAGGGAAGGATGGGAGGAAGCCAACTGGGAAATTCTGCCAGTGTGTGTAGCGAGAGCCGGAAGCGAAGATGGTGAGGAAGTTCAGGTGAGCAGTGTCTGCACCTGCTTCTAGGAGGCCGGCTGAGATGGGGGTGGGGGAGTTGGGGTCGGGAGTCAACAAGGAATGAATACAGGAATAAATGGAGGGTCCGCCAAGACACTTCGTTCTACCATGTGCAGGCTGTAACAGGGCGTGCTGTAGTTACAGGAAGAGGCAGCTGGCTGCCCGTTCCAAACAGCTTACGCGAGTGAACTGAAGCGGAGGAAGACAAATAAACTCTCTTCTGATGTTCATAATTTATAATCATTAGTCTTGAAACCAGGTTATACTGATTGTTTTCATCTGGCAGCTAGCGTTGTTATCATTACATCTGGCTGAATCATCTCTAGGCTCTAAGAAGCGCCGGTCTGGGTTACCACGGGAAAACTTTGTAAAATCAAAATAATTAGATTGGCCGCAAAAAACGACCTCAAAAGCATGGGCGCACCTAGCGGAGTACCTGAACTTGACAGCTAGCCTCGCCCGGCTGGGGAGGAAAGGCAAGGGGAGCTAGCAGACGTGGGGCCCGCGCACCGGCGCGGGGGCGAGCAGCAGCAGGCCCACCCGCGCTAAGCGGGCGGTCCCCAGAGTCGGGCGGCAGAATGGCCCCAGGGCACGTCTAGGTCGTCCGCCCCTTGCCAGACAAGGGCCCGCTCCAGGGTCTGGGAACATCGTTCTCCGAAAACCAAAACAAAACGCAAGTTCGTTTGGGCCTGAGCTCCAGAAAAGCTTCTCCCACCCTCCCCGCTCCCCGAGGAGCTCCAGAGTTGGCCGGACACAAGGTCAAAGTGACACTCAAGCGCACCGCACCCCTCCCCACGCCGCGCCAG